TGATTCACGTACACACCGAGGTTTTATATAAGCATACAGGATGTATGGAGTAGTATCGCAATCACGACCTTCCAGCTGTGCTGTAATCAAATCATCGTACTCATGAATGAGTTCGATTTTTAAACTATCCCAAGGACCAGCAGCAGACTTGAGTGTCCTGACCTGCTGCCACGTTCTAGCACCATGCTGGGAGACACGGGAAGGTCCTCAAAGCAGAAAAGATCAATGGGACAGTCGGACAAATCGTGAGAAAGCTGCTTTCCCTCTGTTCTCATCTCTCAGAGAAAAGTAAACTCGAATGAACAGATTTACATGATTCCTGCCAAATCTTTGCATTTTTCCCATCACTGCTGATGCATTCAGTCCTGTTCATTATTAGAACAAAGCCCATCAACAGGGTCATTAGACCATCCCACTGTCCCAAATCTGTACGAGACGACTCTAATGACAGTGGGCAGTCTGAGACAAGCCCTGCTGGGTCTGAAAAGTCTCAGCTTAATCTACAGTAAGATGAAAATTACGTAAAGCAGGAGAAAATGTCTCCACAGCAGTAATAATGGACCATTACCTGTACACGATGGAGAAAGGGAGACGCAGCTCACTTTGGACCAGAACATCCACTATGCTGACTTTAATGCAACATGTTTTTACCTGCTTAACTAATCACAGCACTTCCCTTTCAGACTACAGAAAAGTAGACTGGGAGGCAGAGCCTTCAGTTTTCAGGCCCCTCTTCTGTGGAACCAGCTCCCAGTTTGGGTTCAGGAGACAGACACTATCTCTACTTTTAAAGCTTGCAGGGCAGGATCAGGTGACCTGGTGAGTGTTTTCTTCGTCACTGTGTGTTTATACATCACTCTGAACTTAATCATTAGTTATTAATAATCTCCTGCACAACGTGTTTTTGTCGTGTTTTTCTCTCTTCACCCTGAACCGCTCACAGCAGACAGCCGCCCTTGCCTGAGCCTGGGTCCACGGGAAGTTTGTTCCTGTTGAAAGGGAGTTTTTCCATCCCACTGTCACCCAGCGCTTGCTGATAGGAGGTCGTTTCATTATCGATGGTTTTCTCTGCACCCTTCAGCGTGGTCTCCTTCTTTCCAGTTGGTGTCCTGTTTTAAAGTTTGCACGTGTGCTGGATTTTCTCCATTTTATCAAAAAGGCCATCCTTCAGCTTGAATTTCATTGACAAAAGCAATGAAGCCAAGTTAGAGTGTAACAATTGTTTTGGTGTGACACAAATCCAAAAGTGCCACGTCAGCGCCCTTTGTGGGCATTTTCTCTGAGCTGTGGTTGAGGCCCTCACTCCCAGCGCGCTGCCTTTAGGCTTGGAGCACACTGCGGACTCATCCAGGCTTTTGGTGAACTGCTGGAAACCCTGATATAGGTCTAGTGTGAAATGCCAGAAAAGCTGATTGTAGTAGAAGTGCTGGACTCGCCGCAGAGATGCACAGGGAGAATATGGTGACGTAAACAGTGGACGAGAAAACTTCCTGAGCACACACAATATTTGGTGTGAACTTTGAAGATTTAAAATGTGTGGTGTGGGACTGAATGATGGCTGCCCCACCGAATGTCATAACAAAGAAAAATCTTTCATGAAACTTTTTGGAGAAGTTAAAAAGAAGTTTTAAGTTTTTCAAAGCAGCTCTTGGAATAACAGTGGATTAAAAACAAACTGTTGCTGGGAGAGTTCAGCGAGCGCACAAAGACCGCTACACAAGTTTCCCTTAATACTTACAAAAAAAGGTGATGTGCATCTTTTTTTAGAAAAGTACACAAACCACAAAAGGAAAATAAAATATTTGCCATGCTGAACGACGGGCGAGCCGGAGACTTTCACCCAACAGCAACATTATGCCGTACAGCGTCAGGAGGAGGGTGTGGCACAGCGGAGCGTCAGAGACTACAGGAACACGCCTTTTTATAACAGCCTGCACTTAATGGTCAATGTGGCCAAACAGAGCAGCCCCGCTCTGCCCCTTCTTACCTGTGGTGAGCTCGCTGTTTCCAAAGGGCTCACAAAGATGTCAAAACAGCAAAGGCATGGCTGTGTGTGTGTGCGTGCGCGTGTGCGCGTCCTTTTGTGGGGAAATAAAAACGAACCATTATGTGCCATTTTGTTCTCAAAACAGAGAAAACATGATTCTTTGCAGACGTAGAGAAACGTTGTCATATCTGGACGAGCATCTGTCTGTAAAGTCGAGTCTATAGTCACGTCTAGACAGGAGAGAGCGCTCAGCTCTGAATCTTTCTCTGCTGATTCAGGAGAAAGAACAAAAACCACCTCACAGCGAAGCAGCAGCCCTAACACGATCAACTTCCTACCACAGTAGCAGCTGTGTGTCATCACCTGGGCATGTGGGGCTGGTCTACAGTCAGCAGCAGTCCACATGTGGGAGGACGGTGCCAGCTGTCAGCCAGCTGGTCTAAACTGCCCTAGTCTGACTTCAATGAAACAATCTTATTCCACTTTTTCCTTTCTTACATTTTATAGCTTGATTTAGGGCTGCCACAAACGATTATTCTGATAGTCGACTAGTCACCGATTATTTTTGCGATTAGTCGACTATTCAGATCATGCATCCATTGGACATACAGCGTACAGCTTATTGCACCAGCAGCATCTGCTGTTATAGAACTATCATTAGCTTACAGCTTTAAGTGTTTAAGGTCTGTGCTAACTAAAAATAAAGACAAGATGATAGTTTATTAAATTTTAATTAAACTTGCAGATTGTTTCGGTGAAGTTTAATAAACTCCTTGCTATCTAAAATATAACAGGACACCGGAGTAAATTCTCGAGCATCTCACACTTCTGATAATCAGCTGTCTGCTTGACGTTTATTCAGCTGTGTAAAAACTATAACTTTAATCTCAGCCAAACCGATTTACTCAGGAACAAATAAAATACTGAAAAAAAGCCAAACAATAACATTTTTAAGTTATCTAAGTGACGGCAGGGAGTCCGGTGTTCTCACGGCGCTAGTGACCTAGCCCCCGGCTAGCTATCGAGCTAGTGGGTAACAGACGTCTCCGAAAACGTCGGAGCGCTTTTGAAAATATGCGGTGTCCTGATAAACTGAGCAGATATTTGAGGTTTACACAGCTACATTCTCGCCTGAAAATATGTTAAACGTTTATTTTGTGACCCAGAAAGAATAATAAGAGTAACATTAAAACTAACTAGCTGCCGCCATTGTTGGAAACTAAGCTGGGCCGCGCTATGAATTCTGGGACACAGCTGCTCTTCTTCTTCGGGGTTTAACGGCAGCTGGCATCCTTGTACATGCAGTGCTGCCATCTTCTGTTTCAGTCCGTTATTACACTCTTAAATCCTGCTACTTATTCCTGCGTCTTTTGGATCTTACAAAGCTTCAAACGACACGTCGACTATTAAATCAGTCGTCGACGATTTTGATAGTCGACGTAATCGTGACTAGTCGACTAATCGTGGCAGCCCTACTTGATTGGCACAATCACATGCCGCGTGATAGTTGCACTCAGAATTAAAGCATCCAAGCTAACGCGCTTACTGCTGAGGGACACATGAAGAAGTCGTGTCACAGCTGTAGCCATGTTGAAGAGTTCTGGTCCTCACGATCCATCCAAAACTCCAGGAGACGCTTCCCTCACCTTTTCTCCCCCCTCCCACACAAACTAAGAAGAACAGTGACTGGACTGACTAAACCAACACGGGGCTTTCCAACTTTTCTCTAAACATCCTTTAATGAGAATGACCAGCAGTGTTTACAGTTTGGTGAAACTGTGCACAGACAAGCCACAAATATTCACAGACTGCCAGGGACACAAACCTACTCCTCCTTGGGGGACAAAAAGCAGCACACGGAGCCTGAATAAGCCATTACACTTTGTTCCCAACTCTCCTGCTTTATCTCTCTCTCAGATTGTTCCCACGCTTTGCTTTGTGCTCACCAAATGATGAGCCTCATGGGAAGTTCCATTTAGAAAGTCTGTGATAATGCAGACGTCATCTTAATTCGTGCCTCTTATAGACCTGAAGCTGTCCAAAGAAAAAAAGTCAAAGGACAGGCTGAATTTGTTAGTTCAGCGCACTTCAAGTGGACCTTGATGTATCCGCTTCATACAAACAAGCGGCTTTGTAACACTGTGGATGTGGGAAGAGAGAGATCGAAAACCCACAAACGTGTTGAAAAACCAACAGTGCACGCTAAGAAGCCGCAAAGCCAAACAAAGCAAAGCACTGCTGTAAAACAAAGTGCACAGATCAGCACGACAGCATTCACAGCAACACAGTTTTATGTTACAGCACATTGTTGTGGATGGAGACTGAGAGCATCGCTGTCAGCCTACAGATGTATAGAGCTGCATTATCATGATAAGCATGATTGATGTACAGGTAACTGAGCTGGTGGAAAAATCCAAGTATTTGTACTTGATTACAAAGTGTCACTTTGGCTCAGCAGTGTATCTACTGTATGATGTATTTATGAAAATGCTGTATTTGTGTTTTACAAAGTCTTCTAATATTTGCTGGTCTGGGTCTCTCAGCCTGAACAACAACGATGGATTGAAGCACTTTGTGAAACTGTCGCAAAGCAGCAGCGCTCCGTGTAGAGTCTTCTGGGTGGGTGTGTTTCGTGGGGTATTGCCCCTCGGGGATCATAAAGCGTATCTTGACTCTTAAAGTGATGGTTGCCAAGTTTTCAGTAAAAGAAAACTGGCAAGTGTTTTTCTACTTTCATTTCCCTTTGATGTGTATTAACGTGTCTTGCAACAATAACACACCTACTGCACGCACCGTGTACGTGGGGTACATTGCGCAACACTGGCACAAGCAAAACTCTGCTGTTCTCTCGTCTCTCTGCTTCTTGTTGTCAGGCAGCACAAACTTTTTTCTTTTTGATGAGGAATGCAGCAGGTAGCGCTGAGCAGACCAGCCAGACAAACCTTCCCCCGCCGAGTCCACAACAATAGTGCTCATTCAGCTCCAGCAGTTCACTCCTTCTCCCCCTCCTTACCTTCTGATACGCCTGCTGGAGGTAGTTGTACGGGATCCTCCTGTTGAAGTCCTGCACCACATCCTCGCTGACTTTGTGCAGAGACTGCGTGCCAACTTTCTCCTCGATGCATTTGTTCATACACGCTGCTCTCCGCAGGACCGAGTCGAAAAAGCGCAGATCCGAGAAGCTTTCATCTAACGGATGCTGGTCCTGGCACCTCAGCCGGCATCGGACTCTGGTGGCCCGGACCTGTCTGTGGCTGCTGAGCGCTCCCTCCATGTAGCGCACCACGCTCTCATAATCGGCACTGTAAAACGCTTCCACCGCGTTATCATATAAAAGGTCGTACGGCTCCAGCACACCGGCGGAAGATGGCAACACGGCTGAGAGCAGGACCGGGAGGAAGATAAGAGTCGGAAACAAGTTTCCATCCATCCTCTTCTCTTCAGGCTGCGAGGAGCTGCAGGCGGAGAGCACACAAAAATCAGCTCAGCCTCCTTTTCCAGTTCATCCAAGCGCTCCTCTCAGAGGGACGAGCCGAGCGAGGCGGAAATGGAATAATTACTTATCGAGGACGCACTTGTTACGACCCCCTCTCGCTCCTTTAACTCCTCCCCTCCGAGATGAATGGCCAGGGTACACTCAGAGCTCGTTTTCGTAACAGGGAAACAGCCCCCACGGGGAAGCACGGGCAGTCCCGTGGGTCCCGTTTATTCAACGTTGAAAACACGAAACGCTGCGTTTAAAGGAGAAATGCACCGTTTAAACTGTTTGGGTTCATTGAGATAAAAAACAAAATCTCCAGTTTTAGACAATTTGAGCTCACTGAGACAAACCTGAAGATGTTTTCAGTCATAAAGAAACACTGAAAAGGAGACATTTGACTTCTCAGACTTAAAGAGTTTCCAAAAATAACCGAGAGACATTCAAACAGGTAAGCAAAGCTGGTTCTGTTCACTGGATGTGTCGCCTTCACAGGGAGAAACGTTTTCGTCGCTCACTCCTTCCAAATGAACAGAATCAACTTTCTGGGAGTCCTAAACAACAAACTCTTCAGCTCATCCACATCAACGAAACTTCGTTTCCACGCTGTTTGGGCAACTTCAATAACTCTCATGTTAACTCAGCTACGCTGTTTAAGAATAAATTCAGTTATACTGCGCAGGAAACAACTAGAAAATTCTTTGTCAACAAAAGAAAAACGCGCTCGCTCCGAGTCCCCGCCAGACGCAGACCCACAGCTTTTCCCACATCAGTGGACTCTGTCTCCCTCTTCAGGTTTTCGATGTACAAACACTTTTTTTTTAAAAAAACGCCACAAAATGACATGAAAGCAGAGTCCAGGTCAAAGCACTTGCATAGACTTCTTTGATAAGTCAAGTCACTTTTATTTACATAGCTTTTATTCCTGGTCTCCAAACAAGTAAATTATAAAGAAGCAAGAAACCAAACGTGACAGAAATAAAAAGCACACAAAGCAGATATTTCAGTGATAATAAAAATGTGATGAAACGATAAAATAGGGGGAAAAGTCTAATAAATAATAAATGGAGAAGTAAGGTGAATATAAATAAAACATATAATTTCAGAAAGAAGAGTCGAAATAAAAGAGCTGTAAGAAAACAGTCCAACTGTCTTTAGTTGGACAGTTTTTTGTGAGTCTGTTTTTTAAATGTTATTTCATCTGTTATTGACCTAATTACCAATTAAGCCAAACTGAAATATGTGATTGCTTAATTTAATTAAGCCACTGTATGTGGATTGCACCACTAGGTGGCAGTCAAACCAAGGAGATTTACACCGATCACTCATAATATGAAGAACCACAAGAGCCCAATGAATGTAATACACCGCAGTGCAACACGTTTTAGACACACCAATGAGCTAAACTAGAGCTGTATACATGTTTACTATATGCTGTGAATACAATATTCTAATATTGAGATGATCTTTGAAAGTAAGTCAATTATTTGTGTGTGCTACCATTGTAGTATAATCTTACTTTTTTTCATTGATTGTACTTATTTGTATTTTTGTATTTCCTTCATATATCTGTACCTGAGCTGAGGTGACGCAAAAATTTCCCCGTTGTGGGATCAATAAAGTCTTATCTTATCTTATTTCAATGGAAGAAATGTAGATGACAGTCTATGCTGGCGGTGGCAGAGCATTTAAAGCTCCGCTCTCCCTGAGCCTGGTTCAGCTTCCTTCCTGATAAAAAGGAGTTTTTTCTTCCCGTTGTTGCCAAGTGCTTGTTCAAAGGACGTCAGATCAGATTGAATCAAATCTAATCAACTGATCACATGGCAGCAATGCACTCAATGCATTAAGGCATACAGGCATAGCTAAGATGGGCTGCTGAAGGTCAAACCGAGCATCAGAATGGGGAAGAAAGGTTGTTGTTGGTGCCCAACATGCTGCTCTGAGTATTTCAGAAACTGCTGATGGGGGATTTTCCAACACAACGATCTCTAGGGTTGTCAGTGTGAACAGTTCTCTGGGTGGAAATGCCTTGTTGATGCCATTTGAGGTCAAAGGCTGGTCTGCTGTGAGTCAATAAGAAGGAAACAGTAGTTCTAATAACCACTTCTAACAGCGAAGCCATGCATCTCTGAATGCACACAAGTTGAACCTTGAAGCACATGAGCTACAGCAGGTGTCACTCCTGTCAGCTAAGAACAGGAAACTGAGGTTAGACTTGACGTGGACTTTATAAACTGGACAAGAGAAGACTGTAAAAATGTTGCCTGGTCAATGAGACTTTTTGGTGTAAACAACCATAAAGCATGTATCTATGCTGCCTGTGGGTTCACTGTACTGTAATGGCCTCTCCTATCAGCAGGGCTCAAACCAACAGAGCATCTTCAGATAAGATAAGATTAAACTTTATTAATCCCTCGGGTGGGTTCCTCTGGGAAATTCGGTTTCCAAAAGCACAGCACCGACAGAAGTTACAGAACGTGAGCAGAATATTTTATATTTACACACATATATATAAATACAGAGACATATATGAATAAAATATACGAAAGGGATAAATAGAATAAATAGGAATAAGAATACAAGGGAATTGCACATTTCAAGTATTGAAGTGTTTTGCACCGTTGACTATTAACAAAAAGCATTGCACAGTGAAGAGGCACTACAGCTTAGTTGTTCCCCCCTCCTTTGTCCTCCTGTCTCCCCTCCCTCTCCCCTCCAGAGAGGAGTTAAACAGTCTGATGGCGTGTGGGACAAAGGAGTTTTTAAGTCTGTTAGTTCTTGTCTTGGGGAGAAGCAACCTGTCACTGAACAGACTCTTCTGGTTGTTAATGGCCGTGTGCAGAGGATGCCTGGCATTGTCCATAATGTCCAGCAGTTTCTTTAGTGTCCTTTTCTCTGCCACTGTCACCAGAGTGTCCAGCTTCATGCCGACCACAGAGCTAGCCCTCCTGATCAGTTTCTCCAGCCTGGATGAGTCCTTCTTTGCTGTGCTGCTCCCCCAGCACACCACAGCATAGAAAAGTACTCCAGCAACCACCGACTGGTAAAACATCCTCAGGAGCTTCCTGCAGATGTTAAAAGACCTCAGCCTCCTGAGGAAGTACAGTCGGCTTTGGCCTTTTTTATACAGGTGCTCTGTGTTGCATGACCAGTCCAGTTTGTTGTCCACCCACAGCCCGAGGTACTTGTACTTGTTGACCACCTCCTCTATCTGAACCGGCAGTGGACCTGCTCTGGACCTCCCGCAACCAGTTGCTTGGTCTTTGAGGTGTTGAGTTGCAGGTGGTTTGTGTGACTCCATGTGAGGAAGTTCCTCACCAGACTTCTGTACTCCTCTTCCTGATCATCTTCCAGGATGCAGCCATTTGCATCATGGCTGTACAGCAGCTGTGCGATGGTATCGTGCTACTACGAACCAAAATGTTTTCAGCACCTCGTTAAATTTTAGCCACAGAGAATTAGGGCAGTGATTAGATATGACGACTGCTTTCTTTCTGTTAGTCTTTTGCTGGCAGTTCAGGAAGGAATCTGTGCAGCACACGGCCACTCCCTCCAGAGTCTGCATCCACTTAAATCCACACCCATGTCTTGTTATGTTTCGAGTGAGGAGCGAGATCATTTGTTTCCACAAATTAGAAACGCACTAATGGAGCAAATGTGTATTTGCCAATAATTAATTTCACTGTTCTCTCCGAGCAAATGATCAAATCAAAGCATGTATTTATCCTTCGATCTTCCTCTTGTATATTTGCCCACACAAATGTTCACGTGGTGCTTATCTTAAATGGTTGGTTTTACACACTGATGACTATGAAATGCAGACTGAACAGAAGTAGGTCTCTTACTGTCGTTCCATAGTTTGTCTAGTCTGAGAGCAACCCTGTCAACGCTTCTGGTGTACAGTAATGGATTTAATGACAGTGTATGAAAGGAAGGAAACGAATACACTGGAGAAAACACACTCATTACTTGTACACTGTGGCGTTTAAGATAACTGCTGCCTGGATACAGCAAACAACAAACTCTTATGGACTTTTTATATTCAACCAAATGCAGTTTGTATGTTAAAGCAAAGTCTGAACACATGTTAAACTTATGGCACTGTGTTCATTTTACAGCTGTGGTGGTTAGCAAGCAGAGTATTACTGAAAACTGGAATCTGAATAATATTTTAAATTATGCGACCACAGTTGCTCCCAGACAGTAAGAACAGCGACTGACAAAACTGAATCAATAACGACAAATATGACAAAGTTACAAAATGTAACAAAACAGTTATAAATATCCCTGCAGATAACACAAGTTCAATTTATATGGTGGAAACTGAGGCGCCCTCTTACCAAACTGTAAAGCTTGTTATTTTCTCTGCAGAGGACGTGCACGATGAAGGATGTGCACGATGAAGGTTGTGCACGATGAAGGATGTGCACGATGAAGGTTGTGCACGATGAAGGTTGTGCACGATGAAGGATGTGCACGATGAAGGTTGTGCACGATGAAGGATGTGCACGATGAAGGTTGTGCACGATGAAGGATGTGCACGGTGACGGATGTGCACGATGAAGGATGTGTACGACTACTGCCGTGTGACTGTTCATTAGATGGAGGAGCTGTACAGCCAGACGGCCACAGGCAGGAATCATTTCCTGTGTCGCTCAGTGGTGCATTTGGGTAATCTCAGTCTCTCGCTGAGCGTGCTCCTGTGATTGGCCAGCACGTCATGGAGTGGGTGGGATGTATTGTCTAGCGTTGTCCTTATCTTGGACAACATCCGCCTCTCTGACACCACCTTAGCTCCGTCCACTCAGCATTCCTGGCCGTGCAAATCAGTTTATTGAGTTTGTTGCCACCTGCGACACTTAACCTGCTGCCCCAGCATGCAACAGCGTAGAGGATGACGCTGGCTAGACTACTGAAGAGTATGCAGCTGATACATGATGCTTTTGTATTGTTGCACGTATAGCACAACCTCCAAATTCTCCCTCCATTAAAAAGTGCAGTGGCTTCATGGTTGTGGGTTTTTGTTTTTGTCAGCATCTAATAATAAATAACAAACTTAAATAACTTCATATAAAGTTTGTCTTCACAAAGGCACCTTTTTAAAATGTTCAAGCTTTAAATATCATTGATCAAACACAGGAAAACCCAGACGAGAAAAAAAACAAAAACAAAACAATTTTATTTAACTATGCAAACAATAAAAAAACTGACAAGTTACGAAATGAATCACACACTTTAGACACAAACAGATCAAAGTACAACAGAAAGTACTGCACTTTATGGCCACACTTTAAATTATGAAAGCAAATCTTATTTAAAGCTTATTATAAACGTGATGATTTTAAAAGTATGCAGGAGGACGACAGGGTCCTTCACAAACATAAATCTGTAATTACAGAAGAAATTTCAATGTTGAACCTTCACATCTTTACTGTGGGAAACAACACACGACGACCGATCCTGATGTGACCTCATTATTCAGTGAATGTAGAAAGTTTTTTCTTCTTCTTTGCTTTCAACTAGACGTAGTTGGACTTTGGATCACTGGTGGGAAGCAGACGGCTGGAGCTTATGGACACCGAGGACATGGTCGTGCATCTCCGACAGCTCAGGAAAGCACCACCAGTCAGAGTGAGCAGTCCACCGGCCCAGCTCACAAACACGGCATTACCAAACTCAGATCTGCCGGAGAGAGCAAATAAACACTAACTTAGCGCG